TAAATCAAACTAGTTAGAATGTCCAACTGGCTTTAGATATTTATAAACTATTGCCTGTCTAGTATTTTTTATGCAAAATACTCAAGCTCACAAAGTACTCATACTTTTGCTACTTGTTCATATGAATGTTTACTTGCACCCAATGTATTCAAATATCACACTTGTGTAACCCATATTCATAGACTTGTACACCAGGAAATAATGTGGTTCATGAACAGCTTCTCACTTTTTTCCTCCTTGGATATTTAGGATGACATCAAACTTGCATCCAGAAATATGTAGGGCCTGAGCTACGAGTTTAAGTACGTGAGTCTCAAATTAACTTCAACTTCCACCTTACATACATTTACTTGTCCTCCCAACATAATGCTTACTTTTTATCTTACTAGTTAACAGCAGTAAATAACTGAAGCCATTTATCTCAATATGCCATACACATCAAAGGGCCAGGAGATGGAACAGTGGAGGGCAGCAGCGGGCTGTCTTTTTTCTGTGCACAATGCATTGAAAGCACCATATCTCGAATCTGTTGTGTTTGTCTCCAAAAGTTTTTCAGAGCTCACTCAGTCTCTCCTCCTTTTAATATACACATTCACCTGGACTCTCCTTCACATTCACTATCCTTGCTCAATTCAACTGCCCTTTTGCAGTTACTAGTAATACTAAAAGAACTAAACACACACACAAAATGCGTAGTGACAATTTAGAGTTACCAGTCACAATTTCCTTATGTGTAATGGTACATAAAATTTTCTTATAGAGGGCTTCCCTAAGGCTAGAGTGAATGTGGTTAATTAGGGCCAGCTTCCCAGCTGTGCAGAACCAGTCTGATTCCTTTAAGTAACCACCATCATTACTATAAGAGTATTTACTGAAAGCTCAGCTTGACAACCACTGTACAATTTGATCTGGCAAATGCACAAAATCTGCACTGCAGATTATATATTACAGCATTAATTATCCAAATGAAACTCCAGGGGCATCTTAGGTAGAAGCAGTGTAGTGAATTAAGGAAGGAAATAATTAGTCACAATTACAGAAACCAGCTCACAAAGTGAAAGAATGCATATAGTCCATTTCCTGCAGAGTACAGGGAACCTTAGTGATAGTTTAAGAAATGCAAAAGATAAACATGACTTCTATAATAAGAAAGGGACAAATCTCAATGCGAAATTGTAAAAAAATTTTTTATTTGTTTTCTGTTCCTATGTACTACATTAATATTAAGACATTTTATGACTATACACTATGACAAATCAACTTTCAAGCCTTTTCTTGACAACCTTAGAGGTTTTGTCATTTGACACAATATGAACTCATGCAGTGAGTAAACAAGTTGGCAAAAGGAAAACTGAGTGGGCACACATGGCATGGAGTTTCAACCCCAATAAAAAGCAGCAGAGTAAGGTGGGAGAAAAAGATTAAAAACCATGCACAGGAAGTGTTCTCCAACATATTCAAGAATTTAAATTGTCCAAAATTACAGTTACACATCCTGCTGGGCATGGTGGCGCATGCCTGTAATCCCAGCACTTGGGGGGGGCTGAGGCAGGAGGATCGCTGTGAGTTTGAGACCAGCCTGGGCTACATAGTCAGTTCCAGGTCATAGTGAGTTCCAGGTCAGTCTCAACTACATAGTGAGACCCTGTCTCAAAAAACCAAAAACCAAAACAAAACAAAACAAAACAAAACAAAAAAACCACACACACACACACAAAAAAAAAAAAAACCCAAAAAACAAAGTTATACATCCCTTGTCAAGATCTTCTGATTAAAAAAAAAAAATTCCTTGATGCAGGGAGAGACTCTCCTCTACCTCCCCCAAATAAAGAAAAGATGTTATATTCAGTCAATGAATGCCAATGGAAAGATGGAACATGAGTGCACACGTTTGGAAGGCTGGCATAAAGCTATCAGAAGCATGATACTGGGCCTGAATCTGAAAAACCACAACAGGCCTGATTCTAGTTTCAAGATTATCTAAGCTTTCTTAGCATGTTTCAAAATAGGTAAGAAAAGATGAAGCTAGGTGTGGTGGCACACGCTTGTAATCATAGCACTTTAGGAGGCTGAGGCAGGAGGATAGAACATTTGAGCTCAGCCTGGACAATTTAGAAACTTAATGAGAACTTGTGTCAAAAAAAGACAAATTTAGCTTAGTACAAAAGCCATTGGTTTAATCCCCAGTACTGAAAACATTTTGAGAAAATTCTACGTACTCTTCTCACAAATACTTGGTTGATTTGCTAATTTGAGATTAGTAGAGAACCCTTTCCTGAGTTATTGAGTTCCGAATCCAAATGTGGAATCTTTGAATAGCATTGTCACATTCAGAATTCATAGAATTAATAGAATCTTTATTTTCTGTGTAAAACCAAATTTGAATTATATTCACATTTATCTTATCTGTTCACTACTAAGTACTGCTGACAGTTTTCATAGTGATGGATCATGAATATTCACTAATGTATCATTGCTGTTCATCAGGTATTTGGTATGAACTTACATTAGAAATAATCAACTTTTCTTACAGTAGAAGAATTTTAAAAAGCAAAATTCCTCTTCATGGAAATGTTAATGAGGCAAAGATTTTGTTTTCTCTTTCTTAATACCAGAAATCATAACCTAGCATACTGTAAGAATACATATGATGTTTTCATATTTACACGGAAATTTCTCATGAATCCTGTAGAGGTTGTAAAAGTAGAGCTAGTTGTTCCTTTTTAGCAAGAGCACTTGTAAAACAAAGAAAGTGATTAGGTAACTATCCTTATACAGTGAGTTGATCAGTTAAAGAAATTTAGAAAAGTCAGCAGTTCATTTACCTGAGTTTCCCATTGAAAGGCTGGCTGCTTTTTACTTAACAAAAATTTAACAAAATTAAAAAGGGCTATAGTCAGAAAATTTAGATTAAAAATTAAGTTTGAGACTTTTGAATTGCTATAAAATCTAATAGAAAGATCTTAGTTAAAACATAAAAGTCATAGAACTATATTGACTTGATGTTATTTACAACTTCAGTTGGAAGTCAGCTTGCAAAATCATTAAGAAAACAAATTCTTTTGAACTTTTGAGCAAGTGATAAAGGAGAATTATCAGTGACCTATTTCAGTTATAAACTCAGATGAGATTATTTGTTAATACCGGAGAAATACTTCAGCATAAATGACTTTTAACCTGAATAGATCCCTTTTGAAGGGTGACATATAGAATAACTATGAAATTTAATCTAGAAAAAGAGTACAGCCAGTGTTTTGCTATCCAAGCTTACTTGTTCATACTCAGGCTTCCAATATTGTGGAAATGAGTATTTTTATCATATAAGAACTATAACCAGGTAACTACTTAAAACTATTGTAACTTCAATACCAGGTCTATTTAAATCAGCTATACAAAAATCATTTTATAACTTTAATATAGAACAAAAAATATAAAGCACTTTGGTCTACATGATTGGATTAGACAAATGAAACAGATCTCTTCACCTCATCATGAAGGTTTAAAACACAACCGAGGCACATGTATCTGCTGACCAGTTCCCATAGTTGCCTTCTGTGTACAACTCAAAGTAGCATCGTGCAAATTCATTAGGATCAAGAAGCACTTTTTTTATTTTTGGTTATGTTGAGGATCAATCCTAGGGCCTTCAGCACACTGTGCAAGTGCTCTACCACTGAGTTACATTCTCAGCCTCAAGAAGCAATATTTCAAACAGCATTTTGACTCCAAATCACCTTCTCATTTACTGTTAAGTTATAAAACTTTCTAGGTCAGTAAGTAACAAGTGTTTGGCTCAAATTCCATACTGTGTTGGAGTTTTAAGTACAAAGGTAAATAAAAGCTCTGCTGATTATCAGGCAAAAATTATTGCTAAGTGACACCACTTAGCAGTTTTTTGTAATTTTAAGAAAGTAACAGAATCATTTTAGATGAGATATATATTGTCAGAAAGCAGAGTTCCTGTGCTTTCATTACTAGTATTCAGAGAGAGAGGGGTTTGTGAGAAATCAATTTATATAAAAGTAGATTATTTTGTGTAACAGGCAGAATTTGAATGCCATGGTATCCTGAGGAAGGGATATGTCCTGAATATACCAGCTCTTTAATATTAAGAGTGCTTTAGTAGTGAAATTTTTACCATCTAATGCATCCACATATCAAAGATGATTAAATTACTCCAAAAACAGGCTTCTAATTCTATGCTTTCTAAATCTAATTACCTACTAGAATACTAAAATAAATCTAATTTCTCCAAGGTTGTCCACCAGTACTACACAGCACTATTGAGATTTTTTTTTAAAAAAAAAAGAGCTTCTGTATTTAATTTATAAGTGATACTTTAAAAAATGTTGGTAAAAATGAAAATTAGCTAAATTATAAATGACCAAGCATGCCAACCACCAAAGATCACTTTCTTTTTTTTTGGATAACAGGAATTGAATTCGGGACCTAGTACTTTTGAGGCAGGCAGTGGAACCACTGAACTAAATCCCCAGCCTAAAGATCAGTTTCTTTACTCATTTGCAAACTCCTTGCCTAAGGATAATTACAATTATTTCATATATGAAATTATACAATTTAAGGTTCTGTTGGAGAAAGGTAGAAAACTTTAGCAATATTCTGTGACAATGCAGCTATGTGAATTTACACTCTAAAGAAAAGTTTTCTGTAGAATGAAATACTTGGTCAAAGAAGGCAACTGATATTAAAACAAGTAGCACAGATTCCTTGGTACACACATGATGAAAACAATAGTAAGTACCATGTACAGATGTAAACAGGCTAAAAATGACCTTGGCAAAAATATCTTCATCCATTTACAATATGTCAAATGCATGCAACTTACAATTCCCTGCCTTTCACAAGAATGAACTGAAAAAACAAAACCAAAAAACAGACAGAACTGTTTCTGTAAGTAGAAAATAATAATAGATCCATTAGTTTCCAAGACAAATAAAACTTTAAAATATTAATATTGAAAAAATACAATTAAATTTTTATTAAAAATACATAGTCCTCAATCTTTGTGTACATTGTTTGTGTTAAAAAGAAAAAAAATAGGAAAGGCATTAAGACTACCTAATTATTTATACTGTATTTGGTAGAAGCATGTTTCAGTCAAACTTCGATGAAAAGTAAGTTATTCTGCTTTCATTTGCTCCCGGACATCAGAAGGCAAAGTTTCAAAGAGAGTGTCTTCTACAACTAAACCAGCTCGCTTCAGGGCCCGGCAGTCACCCAGTTCAGGAGGGAGGATTTCAAAGTGATTCCCTTTGACATCCAAGTAGGAAAGAAATAGTAAATTTCCAATTTTTGGTGAGAGTACTGATAGACTATTTTTTCCAATCTTCAAAGTCTTAAGTTTCTTGCAAAAGTAAAGTTCATCTGGAAGGCTTTCCACTTTGTTACAAGTGATGGAAAAATATTGTAAACTTTGTAAAACTCCAACTTCAGGTGGAATGAATCGGATATCATTGTAGGATAAATCCAAGTATCGGATTTTGTTGCACAGGAATAGGTGGGAAGGCAGCACCTCTATTTTATTGTGACTAAAGGACAGTCGTTCCAGGCTGGTGAGTTTCTTTATATGCTCTGGGATGTAGGTGATGCTGTTGTGCCACAGTTTTAGCACTGTCAACTTCCTCAAGTGCTGGAAGCTCACGATTTCTTCTATAGATTTCAGGTTGTTTTCTTTCAGGTCCAGTTCCTGGAGACTAAGCAGGCTGAAAACAGCATGAGGAATGCGCTCCAGGTCACAGTGGACCAGTTCCAGCTCTGTCAGATTGGTCATCTTCTTTAAATTGTTGATCATCACCAGCTTGGTGCCATCGTTGTGTATGCACATCTTCTGGAGATGGCTAGCGACATCCACCACTGCCTGAGGGATTTTGGAAACATTGCTTTTGATAAAGAGAATTTTAAGGCTTTTGAGATCCCGCAGAGACTCAAGAGTGACATTTTTAGAAATATCATGACTTAGAGAGCCAACCAGGTAGAGCTCTTCCAGATTACGCAGCCCATACATCCAGGGGGGCAGCTCCCTCATGTCATCAAACTTGACACTCAGGACTTTGAGGTTTTCCTTCAAGAAAGAGAGAGCTGCACTGTGGATTTTGACAGAGCACTGATGTAGAGAGAGCTCCTGGAGATTGTCTAGCTGTGCAATGGTGGCTGGTATCATTACATTCTTAATGATTTCAAGTTTTAGAGATTGCAACTCTGTGATTTCAAAAACAGTGTCTGGAAGGCCAGAGAGCATGATTAGAGGCAATTCCAATCTATTATGGGCATTTGTCTGCAGTTTCTGCCTCAGTTTATCAGGAGTCCACTCATTATTTAAGTTTAGCTGCTTTAATTTGTTTTCACTGACTTCAGACAGGAACACTGCAAATCTCTTGGAATAAAGAGGATCATACTGATCGATCATATGAAGCATAAAAGCAAAGTCATTTTTCACATCTGGAATATCATCAATTCCAGTCTCCTGCCGGACATACTCAAAAGAATATTCCCTTAGAGAGCGGTAGAATAGCCAGTATAAGGTATAAAGGCAGGTCAATCCATAGATACTTACAAAGCATAAGTAGCAATAGGACAGTTTTGAGAACAAGTGAGCCATGGTATGATTGCAGGAAAAGTTTTTATATCCAGTCATGTCCTGAATGTCAACATTACAATCCACTGTAAACTGGACTTTGGAAACCAGAGCACTATTATATGCAATGATGATGAGGAATTTGATAACCTTCAGTACAGTCTGGCGAACATACATAGCATAGAGTATATCACCTTCTTCCACATGCAACCTGAACTTCTTTACCTTCTCAAATAAGGCCTTTGCTTGCTCACCTTCCTTTTTATCCAGAGCCCCTGCTGTAGATTTATCAACCACAAATTTCTCAGGAATTGACTTCAGAGACTGAGAGTTGACCAGGCTGCCCTCTGGACCAGACTGAGTGGTATTGGACCTGTTCATATTGTTCTTCCTGTTGTCCTTTTCTTCTGAGTCCTCCCCAGATACTTCAGATAACGCCCGTGTTGTCCAGGGAGAGTCAAAACACTTTCCCAAGATGGAGATGAAATGTTCTATTTTGGAACTAGATCCAGGGAATTTGAACCAAAAGTTACTGCAGAGCATGAAGACCAAAGTGTGGATGAGCACAAGATAGGGGAAATACTTGGCATACCAATGGAGGGCTCGCTCATAACACATCTGGTTTATGAAACTGTACTGCTGAAGATCCAGATCTGTTTTCAATCCTTTCATTTCTACAGGGGCAGGGTTGGTAGGAGACAGTTTGGGTAGAGGCAGCGGGGAGTTACTAGCAACTGCTTGAGAGACATTTGAAACAGATGAGTGGTTCTGAGCAGGCTGAACTCTTTTTGGAAGGCAGATTATCTTGTCTTGCATGACCTGAAACACAGAATATTTTCAAATTATATTACTCAAAGCTTTCATAATGTCATTAGTGTAAAGAAAGCAGCAATAACATCCAATAAATGTCCATTTCCTCTGCCTGGAGAATATAATGTTCAGTTCCAGCACCAAGATTTTATTCTTAGCTCCTATGTCAAAAAAATGAAATATCTGACTTTGTTCATCGCCTCTAAGTTATGACCTGAGACAGCAGCTTTGTCAGGACATACAAAAAGTCAAAACAAAGTGTATAATTAGAGAACATTCACTTTCTTAAAAATCTGCATTTCTTCTCTTACCAGAGACTGCAAGAATCAATGATTAGTCTAGAAAGTGCATTCTCAATCAGATTAAACTCTAATTTTCATAGAGTACGGTGTTCCATGGTTTTCACAGGTGCAGTAAAAGGATTAGAAAGAAGAAATATGGAAAATTCCTATTATTTCTCCTTTTCTTTCTACCCATATCCTGGAATATATGCATAGATTAATATGAATGGATTTAATATAGTGGAAATTTTGCTAAGCTTTCATTAAAAACCATTTCTTCAGACAGAGAGATGAAATAATACATGTGTTCAACAGTAAAACAATTATGTCTAAATTTGCTAGCTTTTTGTACAATATTGAGAACCTCTCTACATCTACCAATGGCTAGTGTGTTGAAAAGAATACTATAAGATTATAATTTGAGAAAGGGAGAATATAGCATTTCTGAAGTTGAGGTAGGATAAGACAGGGTACACCTTGCATCAACTTGGAGAAAATAAAGAAGCAATGCTAAGTAGAACAATAATCAAACAGTTCGAAGTGAGAATAATAACCAAGGAGTATACAACAATGACTTGTGTAATTAATTCAGACAAAGTCCATTGTACTACAAAAAGATCAACTGGCTGAATATCTACAGTGTTTGGTGATTGTGCAAGAGCAAAGTATTTAGTGATGTTGCCACATCAAACTCTTTGCTTTGATTAAAGAAGTGGAAAGAAACAGAACCCACTGCAAAACAGACTTCTATAGATAGTATGTGACCACAAGCTGGTGCCAATGGAAACACAGCCCATGAGACAAAAACACCAAGTTGACAATGGGGTGAACCATACAGCATTTGGTGAAGTAGGAGTCTGCCAGTATATATTTTCTGAGAAAGTGAATGAACCCAGAACTGCTGCTGGTCCTTGCAGTTCAGGGTTGTACTGGTCTGTGTGTGACCAGACCAGTCCTGGGGTGAAGATGGGGATGACAGCGATGACAACAGCAAACTTACATTGTGTTCAATATGTAACTATCCCTATTTTCATAATGCAATGACTATTAGTTATTTTAATTGTCACTTTACTCTGCTGAGTCAGGTATTGTTATTCCTAATATTCTCTATAAGATAAAGAAAGCAAGGCATGAACCCAGATTAAGTAAGTTACCTAATGTTATCTAGCCCAGGGATATGTGGACTCTGAGTCCACATCCCTAATCCCTATTTATTTAATTAAATTTCTAGTTTAAATGAAAGGATCCCAATTTGACTTTTTCCTAAATAAAAATTATACAGATTTTTCACATTTTAGAGCCAAAGCTTACTTCTTCCCATATCCTATGCATATAACAAAAGAGGCTAAGAAGACAGATGCTTCACTACCCAGTTTATAACACTGTCCTGAGAAGCAAACCAAGAGGCAACCATTGGCAATTTAAATCAAAAGAAGGCAAGAAAGAATAATTGTGATTACATTTAGAAAGCTCAGTGACTACAGCGTTATCAGAACTGAACAGTGGCTTCATTTTTATCACTTAGTAATATCAGAGGGCATAACCACCCAGTACATGAATGTCTATATGTAAATCCATATATCAATTAATATGTCAAATATTGGAAAAGCCTAGCTTCTTTCTCATTAAGTTTAAAATATATATAAATGAAAATTTGCATTTTTGTCTCACATTTCAATGAAGCATGCTTCTTATTTTTTGGAGGTCAAACACCCTACTTTGAAAATCTCTGGAAAACAGGAGGAAAATGCCTAGACATATGCTGTAACATCTCACATTTATCTTGAGATGTAAAGAGACTTAACAATTATGAAATTTAGGGTCTTGATGCGTTCCTATTCTTGGTCTTATTTAATCCTCCAATAATGTGTGAAGTAGAAAGATAGTAGAGGCCATAGACCAGCAGGGAAGAGGAAAATACTTCCCTGAACACATTCTACAAGAGCAACACCTTTGTGCTAATATGTTCAGATGACATTATTAATAATGTGATGAAAACACAGAAAAGTTAGTGTAGAAGCAAGATTAGGAGGCAAAATGGCAGGCACCTTGTTAAGGTGTTAAATCCCTGCCAAACAATCAGGCAAATTTTGTCCCTAAAGCTCTTGCAGGCTTGTTCTAATGGTAGATAATGTAGGCCTTCTTGGCTGTGGTACAGGATTTTAGGTTATGCTCTGTATCATGGTGCATTTGAGGGGCAAGTGTGGGCTAAACTCTAGTTTGTGTTCCCTTTGTTGAGTTACACATAACTAGCTATGTCTGCATTATGGAGTGTTTTCAATATTTTACACAAAGGCAGCTGACTGGTTGGGGAGGTAGGTCACATTCTCCCCATTTTTCTTTCCCCTAGTACCAGGGATTGAACTCGACCTTGCACTTGCCAGGCAGGTGCAGCACCACTGAGCTAAATCCATGGCCCTTACATGCTCCCTATTCTACAGCTAAAGAACTTGACTAAGGTTCAGGAAACTTAAGTGACATGCACAAATTGATACAGCTAGAAATGGCACAACAGAAATTTAAAGCTGTTTTTTGCATAGCCTTGTTCCACCACTCCACAGTCTTCTAGTCTTGCTAACCTTCAATTATGAAGGCTTTATAGCCAAGTAGGACAGCAATATGGAGACAGTTGCCAGAAGCTCCTGTTTTCTGATTTTATATTTTTAAGTTTTATGAAGATGTGAGTTTTGAAATATGTTTGTTCAAATCCCAGGAAAATACAGACTATTTTCTCAAAGACCACTGAGTAGAAAAGAAATACTGGAATTCAGTCACAAGAATAGCAACTGCTCATGTTGCTGAGGGAACACATCCTATGAAAACTCCTGCAGGGGCAGTTCCCAGGAGGAGGCCAAAAGAATGGCCAGGGCTGGTTTGTCAACCCAGGACAAAGAAAAAGGACAGCTACCATGTGAGTGAGCCCAGCAATCAACAGTACAAATAGTAAAAGAGTTACGGGACAGAGAAGTAAGTCTCCCTTCATGTTTTGTAGAAATAGCATTTCTAAACACTGTAATACTAGGAAACATGGGGGAAGGGTCAGTATTTTCAGAAATATGTTCAAATTGAGAAAAAGGGAAAAATAGTAAAGCAGGTAAGTTTCATAAAAGTGAAAGAGGGTCAGGAGATAAAGGCTCTTTCCATTGTCTCTGAAAATAATAGCATCCTGTGAAACTTGAAAGTTTTTGATTTGCCTTTTCTGCTCTTTGAAGAAATTTGTGTAGTCAAACCTACACTACCCTTCTTTTCTTTTATCCACTGATGTAAAAATTAGGATGTAAAACAAATCTTAAAGAAAGCTGCATAACAAATTTCAAGAGAATAATTGTAGGGTTCGGGCTGCTGGTACAGGACTAAAGAAGAGTTCTTGGGAGATGGGCAGGAAGAAAGTCCCTAAATAAATCCAGTTTTACGAAACCCTGCCTGAAGCTTAGATCCTCCCCAGGGTCATAATGTGAAGGAGTTCTACAACCCTCTTCTTGGGACAAACTCAGGCTGCTTTTGGAGGAAAAGTCTTGAGTACAGAGCTACAGACATAGGATGTGTAAAGGGTGAAGGACAGAAGAGGAAGAAATGTGTGCATGTATTGGGAAGGGGCACTAAGAAGCAAAATTAATCAGAATCTAATCCAAAATACATCAAGGTGAGAAAAATTAATATCTTAAAAGCTGATATGAAAATTCTTCTTAGGAGTCAGGCATGGTGGTATATGCTTGTAATCCCAGCACTTGGGAGACTGAGCTCAAGGCAAGCCCAGGCTACGTACTGAATTCAAGGCCAGCTTGGACTGCATAGCAAGAGCCTGTCTCTAAAAACCAAAAGAAAATATAAATTTGAAATAATCTATGTTAAGAAAAATAAGGAAGTGTAGGAATGAAGAGAGAGATGCAGAAGAAGGCGAATCACCAATGGTAAGGGTCAGGTAAAAGCCCAGGTACAAAGAGATGGTTAAACTGCCTCCTCTCCATTGCGGGGAACAGGCTTGGATGTACTGGAATGGTAAGCCAGCAGAGCCAAGGAGACTAGAAGTGAAGAACACATAACAGATGGCTGGAGTATGCGCTCATTATCTTTTTCATTGTTTATTTCTTTAAGAGTTTATTGGTACATTTGCAATACACGATTATATTCCTTGTGGGGAGTTAGCACATATGCATAATACATCTTTTTTTTGGGGGGGCCCCTTTCCCTCCCTTCTTTTCTTTCCTCTCCCCCCATCTCTTGGTCTCCTTCCCTTTGGCAAAATACCACTCTATTTCCTATTATATATCTTTCAATTTGCTCTTTACTTGTATTTTAAGTTTATCATGTAAGAGAAATCATGCAATATTTTTATTTCAGACGCAATTACTTTTCTTTTCTTTTTTTTTTTGTACTGGGAATCAAACTCAGGCCCTTGCACTTGTGAAGCAGGCGGTGGCACCACTGAGCTAAATCCCCAGCTCCATGAAATTACTTTTTGATCTTTAGTAAAATCTGCTACATTCACATACCCACAACTCACCTTTTATGAGTGAATATTGTAGAAACTATGGCAAATTTCATGTTTGAAATAGTATAGAAAGGAAAAGTTTGCCAAGCATAGCTAAAAGAAAAATCTATTAAATTATTTCCATGGATGAAGAAACTGGAACTGCATGCACCGAACCTTTCCATGAGTGTAACAAAACTTAACAGAGGGTATTTGACCAGGGTTTGATTCAATATTCTCTAGATCTTTAGGAGCAG